CCCCACCGACAGGTGGGCTCTGTCCCTTTACCTTAACTTGTGGGTCTTTGAGGCTGCCTCACTGTTCGAGCAGGCAGGAGCAATGCTGTGTGAACTGTGAGCTGTCCTATGAAGTGATGCTACTCTCCTGAGCGTCCCTGTGCTTTCTCTAAGGTTGTTTGCCACTGAAGCCCCACCACCCTGCTGCAGGAGGCTCCTGGGAGAATCCTAGATGAGAATCTTCCAGCTGATATCAGCTGCCACATCTATGCGTATGTGAGCTTTCTGTGGAGTCCAGTCTCTACTTGTCCTTGGAACCACCCCAGGGATGAGCTGTCCTCACTGAGCCCTTGCCCAAATTACAGATTTGGGACAACTCTGAAGGGCCATCCCAGTTCTAGAGCTTCCTGTGAGATTGACCAAACATGTGAAGAGTCATGATTGAATTTCCAGGGTCAGGGTCAAAGATGCACACTTAGGAGAGACTTGAATGAACATGGTTTTAAAAGTCCTGGGTAAAATGGATGAGGTGATCTGGGGAGAAAGTCTAGAGAGAAAATGTGTAGGGCTCTTCTCCAGGTACTCGGTCACCTGGAGAGCTGGTGGGAAAAGGGAGCCAGGAAAGATGAAGATGAGAAAAGTCATGGGCCTGTGTCTTCTCCACAGAGGAGAAGACAGGCTGAAGGGGAGGGCTGCGGAGAGCCAGAGAGGAAGAGATTAATATGTCTGCAGTCTGATCCTGTGACGTCATTGGTGACCTGTCAAGAACAGTGTCACGTCAGTTCATATTCTGGGCAAATGCCAGAGGCCAGAGAGCCAATGACAGCAAGAAATGGGAGGCAGAAAGCAGAGCTCTTTGTGGGTTACGTGAAGGTACGAGGCTGCTCCCATTGTCAGTGAAGCAGGTAGATTTGTGCCCAGAAGTAGAAACATGAGGGCTCTTGCTGAGACCTTCTGCAGAGGGAGAGCGCCCCTGGAAACAATTCCAGCCCAGGCCTCATAGTCTGTGTCCAGAAAGTCAGTCAATAAACCCCCAAAGGAAATCCAGACCTTTCCTTTCTTGGAGGTTCTACTGTCTTCACTCATTCCCTATTGTGTGACTCTCTGGGCTTATCCCCAGCAGGGATTGGGGTCCTTGGCAGTTCTAGAGGTGCTGGGGCTCTAATTGAAACCCATTCAACATTTGCTGATGGGGAGCATGCGGATCTCATCTAACAACATAAAATACAGGTTTTCTAGTGCTGTGGTTGGAATGTGGTTTGTACCCTTGAACCCATGCATTAAATCCATTCCCCAAAGTCATATGTTAACATCATTACCAAGGTAGAACCTTAATCTGACTATGGTATTTAGAGATGGGGCCTTTAGGAAGTGATTAGGATTTGATAGGGTCACTGGATGGAGCCCCCATGATTGATTCCCCCATGAAGAAGAGAGAGTGAGATAAGAGACACAGATTCACTCTGTATCTCTCATCATGTGAGGCCCTGTACCACCTCAGGACTCTGCCAGCAAAAGACCATTACCAAATGTGGCCCCTTGACCTTGGAACTTCAGAACCGTGAACCAAAATGAACCTTTTTTCTTTATAGAGTTACCTGCATTAAGTACTTCATTACAGTCATGAAAATGGATTAATATACCTGGCAACCAGGGGCTGTGGGGAGTTTGCTTAACAAATTATTTGGTGAAATTTCTGGGTGCTGCTTCAACTTTAGTAATGGATCGTCTCTAAGTTCTTGCTGGGAGAGCAGTTTCTCCTGATCCCATTAGGAGATGAAATAGCCCTCCTTCCATCCCAGCTGTGACATTAATGCTCCGTGTCTTGTCTAGATGGGTTCCAAATAGCTGCTGCTGTCTCAGTTGTGGGAGTGTGGTGCCTTTGCTCTGTCCCCAGTCCTGGGAGGTAGGCAGAGCCAGGATCAGCCTCATACCTGCTGGAGGAGGGGAGCCGGTAGGGCAGGCAGCAGAGATATGGGGTGGCAGGAGATGGGCTAAGAGTTGGGGAACCCAGCCAGAGGGAGAAGGCCTGGGTTGTATCATGACCAGGGCCCGCACTCTGTTGGAGGTTCCTACAGCAAGGGTCACTTACTCCCATGCTGAATGTGTCGCTTGGCCAGCAGTGTGGCTGATCCACTACAGAAGCACAGATTCAGCACAGTTGCCAGACCTTCATATCCCCACCCAGGGTTTTGCAACCACACAGGATGAGGCCCAGGACTCAATGATTTGTTAGCACTTGCTCAGAAAGACACAGCCACCCACCAGACTTGCATTTACTAGAGATCTCTGACTCCAACCACACTTGAGGCCAGCAGGCTGAGGCTCCCTGCAGCCAAGTCCCAGGCAGGCCAGCTGACCAGTATAGCAGTAAAGGACACAGCCCCACCCCCTATGCTCCCCCCACCCCCAAGCCCTCGAGGACTGGCTTTCGTCTTTTACTTCACAGTCAGTGTAAAACTGTTACGGAAAAACATTTTATTACACGTGTTCAACTTGCTTCCAATGAAATGATTAATTTTTCATGTATAACGGCAACCAATGTTTGTCTTTTTTTTCCCCCAAAACCAGCACCAAAAGAATAAAACAAACAATACCATGGGTACAGTACGTAATGTAAATTAACTAATGGAAAATATATACATTTGACTTTGAAATGAAAAAAAAAAGAGCAATGATATTATTGCCATTGAGGATCTTTTCCTCTGTTCTGATCACATCAAGCCATGGTCAACTGAGAGGGTTTCATTTTGCACCAAGAAGAATAGCACCGTGAGACCGTGAGACTCTAGTTAGTAACACATCTGTGCTACCACAAAGGTACAGTACTTGAGTGATAGTGCAGGGTATTGTTAACACAGAAACATCACTATGGTACTCAGAGCTTGTCTCCTACAAAGTGGAACAAGAATGTCATGATGGTGACATGGCTGATGCCATTAAACCGAAGGTGGGCTGGTGGATTTCAGAGTGACAGCACCAGCATAAGCTGCAAGGGCTCAGGAACACACTGACCCTGGGGAATTAGCGGAGTGTTTAATAATAACCAAATTGATCATTTCATTCTGAAGGTATGGGGCTTTTGCCAGGGGAGTCATCAGCCTGACCCAGAGGCAGTTCAGAGGCACCAGGCAAAGTGAGTACCAGCACATGCTCGTCTGCTTGGGTGGGCCCCTGCGGATGAACAAGAAAGGTCACCGAGGCCGCCTCAGCTGGTTGCCCCTGTTCTGCTTCTTGATTCCAAAAGGCAAATGTCTTTTGGTGAATTAACAGTGCATTTTGGACTAGGGGAAGATAGTGCCACCTCAAGCTCCCCAGCATTTGAAGGTTTTGTGGAAATGGGCTCAGGGGAGTCTGCTGGTGGCCAGGCCTGAGTTGGGAAAGCACAGTGTTTTGCACAGGCCCTGGAGTGGTGGCTGACGGGTCACTTAATCCATCCTGACATTCTCTCATTTAAGCACCTAGGGAGTTTTCTCCACACTTTTCATTGATTCAAGTGGAACTGAATATACTTCCGGCCATCCCTACCACTTCTCTGCTAGGGGACAGTAAAAATCAAAAAACAAAAACAAAACAGCACCAATAAATCAAGCACTTGAAGATGATCTGTGGAAATTGGCCCAAGTGAGATCCTCTGTCTGAACCCAGGGAGGAGAAGGGACTTTCTCAAGGTAAGTTTCAACATAAGCACCTATGAGACATAGCCACCAAGTTGGTGAGCACAACAGGCCGCCTGGGACAGCCAGGGTCCTACCATAAGGTGTGCTCTCAAAGAGGCCATTCTGGGTGACAAAACAGCTCTGTGGCAAAGGGTGAGGGGACTGTGAAGAAGGCCTTCTGCAAGGTGATGATGGTTCCATGAGGCCTGGTGCCCATCCCAGCTGGGCAGTGTGCATCCACTGGTCATGGCACACCAAGCTCGAGAAACCCGCCCCAAGGAAGCAGTTAGGCCTTACTCTGCAGATCCCAGGCCTGAACTGCATCCTCAGAGGTCTTGAGTGTAATCTTTACTTCAGATACAAGGCCAAGGTCCAATGCAAGGCTAGTGGGCTGTTGGGTGGTGCTGCAGCAGCTAAAGGTGCAAAGCTCTGCAAAGGGCCTGCTGGAGTGGACGCCCCGAGGAGTGGGAAGTCCACACGACAAGCTGTGCTGAGCCCACCTGTATGCTAGGAAGTAGAATCCATTGCCCCGACTGGTATGTGTCCTGTTTCAAGACACCTTGCAGAAAGGCACTTCTGTCGCCCTACGTGGTGAACAGCAGAGCTTGGAAAAGTAGATGCTTCCCCAGACCCAGCCCTTCAGAATGTCCTCCCCACTCGGGCAGTGTGCTACGTACGCTGGCCTCCTTGTTGGTCTATGCAGAGTTAAACTCTCAGGAATAAAACTTCCAAGGCAAGGCCCAGGGTTTTGAGAACAGGTTCTCAGAGATGGGCAGAGAGGCCAAGTTCCATCCTTGTGTTATCTGGAAGGTTGATTAAGAAATGTGGGCTCCAGATCAGCCAGTAGAGGTTTGTCTGCGTCTGTCCTTCCATACAGCGTGTTGTTGGCTTTCAGAATAAAGCCTCTTCTAAGTATGGTGTATCATTTTCAGAATGTACCCCTCCCCAACCCCCACAGTACAACAGGCATTGGGTATTCAGTGTCAAAAGAAAGCCAGGACAGAAGCAATGAATGGTGTCTCTCTCTCGGCAACTGTCTGCCAGAGGTGTTCCCCTTTGAAGTACACGGAACCTTAGAAATAATAATTATGTGACTCATGCCCATTGTTTTTCCTTACTGTAGAAAGCCATCCAGTGGCTGTTAATAATATATTAAACAAAAGCACTAATGGCAATGTCAAGTCCACTCTTAAGTTCTATGCAACTGAATTTTTGGGGTGGCCTTGTTGGGGGAGCCAAGGTGTGCTTCAGGGAGTCCTGGCCATGGGGCTGGTTTGCTTTTGGGAAGGTGGGCATTTCACTTATTCAAATGCCAGCCTTCGGACCTCGAGTGTGAGTGCTGAGCAACTGCTGAGCCGTGTGTCATGAGCTTGGCGGAGAAGGCGGCTGGCGCATCTTGTTCGCGTAGAAATCTCTACATGTCTGGCAGCAGCGCTGGTACCACCGCATGTCCTGGCAGAGGTTCTTTTCTCGGATGACCCGGCAATACACCGTCCACTGGTCCCGTGTGCATTTGTATGTCAGAGCAGCTAAGGTGACAATGGGAAGAGAGGGCACTTAGAGGAAATCGAGATGGTCCATGCTCTGACAGTGTCGGGCTCCCTCACCCTTGTGCACCCACTGGCCTCTAGAGACTCGTGAAACTAAGCCCTTGCCAGGGGCACTGTAGATGCCATTTTCTGCTACAAAGGACACATTTGTACGTCCAACACAACTCCTTGGCTGAGTGTGGTAATCTGGCTGCCCGTTTAAGGGAGAGACCAGAGGATACTCTGCTCCTGAGCATGGTAGCACTCACTGTTATTTTGTGGCACAGCATACCATTACTGTTGACATTTTGAAGACAAGGGGACATGGAGCAGTGGGCTTTGAAGGACCCACAAATACAAGAGGTCAGAGTACAAACAAATGACCCAAATCTCCCTCAGGGTAGTGTTGAGAGAGAGCCCTGCTCAGAGGAGGTCCTTGGAGGATACCAATCAGGCTTAGGCTGGCAAAAGCCATGAGTCACTTTTGTGATCTCAAAGTCCCTCCCTGCCCAAACCCAAATGGAGCTGTTCAGAAAGCCCCTTCTTTTGGGTGGAGTTTTCATGTTGGAAATATATTTGGCAAGGATATATTTCCCAGGAATTTTTATCCAGAAAAGCAGAAACTGTTGAGTCATCAGATCAATATCAAATGTTCTTCCTCTTATCCCACCACCAGCTTGGGACAGATAGAGGACCAGGTTCTGGGCCCCAAACTTTTTACACAAAACCTGTTTGTTCTCCATTGTGTCTCTGCATCTTGGGCTTCACTCGGGAGCATCCCCCATGGACATCATGAGGGCCTCCTGAATCTTTCATTTCCAGGACAAAGCACCTCCTTCAGCCCTGTGACGCCTAGGAATCCCGATACCTTTAAGGACTATGTTTGAGACTGCAGTTAGCAAATGTCTCTTGACAATGAAATTCTCTGAATCCTCCTACATTCTATAGAACAAACAACTGCTGGCCTCTTCAGGACTCAAAGCCTGTCCAAGGAGGCAGCTTTCTGGCATATAGAACTCTACCACCAGCAGCGAGTCACTGTCCACAGGACATAGTGCCTCCTGGAAATCTGGACCAGAAGTACTCACCAAGACGAGGGGAGGTGATGGTGTTCACGTTGATCTTGTCATTGCAGACCTCCTGGTGGCACTGTCTGTAGGCTGCCGGCTTCGAGAGAGTGGGGCACTCACTGCCATGGCGCCCGGTGACCTTGTGCATGCACTGTACCACGCGGGACTGCAGCCCCTTCCCGCAGGTGGATGAGCACTGCCAGAGACAGGGACAGCCTGAGGTGGGGGCTAGGACAATGACCCCAGAATGTACTGCCCCTGGTCCTGCAAGTCATCCCCAGGTGCTTGCAACATTTGCAAGGTACTAGTGGCCTAAAAGAAGACCATTTCAAGATATGGACAGCATGTTGGTGTCCCCCCTGCCCAAATGATATGTTGCATCCTTAACCCCCAGGGGGGTGGTATTAGGAGGCAGGAACTTTGGGAGGGTTAGGGTTAGATGAGGTCATGAGGGTGGGACTCTCAGGATGGGATTAGTAGCCTTATGAGAAGAGAAAGAGGCAAGACTGTTCTCTTCATATAAGATGGCCGTCTGCAAACCAGGAGGAGAGCCCCCACCAAACACTGGATCTGCATCTGCTGGTACATTGATTTCTGGATTTCCAGACTCCAGAACTGTGTAAGACAAATGTCTTTGGTTTAAGCTGCCTTGTCTTTGGTATTTTGTGATAGCAGCCCCAGTTAAGATGATTGCCAAAATATTAATTCATACTGGTTGCATTTCATCTTCTACTTATTCTAAGCAGAGATCTGGGCTTCAAAATTCTTAAGACAGTGGGCAGGTGGCCCAGTAGCCCCCAGAAGGGACTGGACCTGATTACCACAGGTCTCCCCAGCACTTCTGCTGCCCATGCCTCTGGGACCTTTGCTCAATCATGACTGCAGTTAGATTTCCCACAAGCCTGGGGGGCTGCAGCTTAGCATTAAGTTTAAATGAAATGCAAACTGTATATCGGTCATGGACTAATATTTGAGGCTGTTGATTTTGGCACCAAATCTCCAGTTGCTGGCATTTACAGCATTAGAAACCCTGGCACAAGGAGGCAGAGGTTGCTACAGCCAGGACAGTATGGCTGAGCAGAGCATCCCAAATTCCTGAGGCACCCTCTGCTGTGGTTCTATCCTCTGTCCATTCCTCGACAAGTTGTCTCAGGTTATGTGACACATGACTACTCTTCAGTCAAGCATGGACTGCATATTCGACAGTGATCCCATAAGAGTCTACTGGAGCTGAAAAATTCCCATTACCTAGAAATGTTGCAGATGTCCTAATGTCATAGCTCAACATATTAGTTACATGTTTGTGGTGATGCCAACGTAAACGGCCTTCTGCGCTGTCATGCACATAAAAAGTATAGCACACAAAATTATGTGCAGAACATAATACTTGATAATAAACGACCATGCTACTGGCTTATATATTTACTATGCTTTTTATGGTCAGTGTACTCCTCTACTTATAAAAATAATTTACTGTAAAAGTTTGCTGTGCTACGCCAGCAGCAGCCTCACATGTCTTGTGTTTAATAGTGTGTCTCTTGATTACACAAGAGGCCACATGGAGATTGGCCCATGCCGTCTAGGTTTATGCAAGCGCACTCCTACATACCCACAGAGACGAATTCACCTAATGACACACTTCTGAGTACCCGGCCCCGTTGCAAGTGGCGCATGACTGTGTTACCCAGGGAGGAAACTGCCAGGCATTCTGTCCTGCCTGGATTCTGCCCCCTGAGCCCTTGGCCCTTGTTAACTCTTGCAGGAGCCCTTAAAACTGTCTGCTACATTGGTCTCTTCCCAAGCAGAGAGCCATATCCATGTGTGGCACCTTCTCCATCTGGAGTCCCTGGTGTCCACACAACCCCTGGGCTTCATGGGACTCGGAGTGCTCTGCAAAACTTTAATACACCCAAGGCTGCTGTGCACTGCCCAGCTGCAGTTAATAATGGCATCTCGGGGTGCAGAGAAGGGAGCAGGCCTATCCCTGGAATGCTGCACATGGTGAGGAAGCCAGGTGCCTTCCAGATTCTGTGCTTTCCTATGTCCTCCCCAGGGCCTGACCATGGCCTTCCTGTGGGCTTTGAGGAGTCGGGCTCAGCAGAAGACCTTGGTGTTACCAAGGGGCTCCAGTGGGTACCATCTACTCCCTTTCCAAGGGGCTTCTGTGAGCCGGGTGAATCCTGCTGTTTCCTTGTCTGACAAGCAGGGTCATGTTTACCATGAAGGGCACTGATCTTCAAATCAAAGGAGACGCAGGAAAACCACAAGCAGTTCCCATTCCTGTCTCCTTCACCACCTTCCTGCCCTAGTGTTCAAAATAGCACAGGCTCTCTCTCCACCACACAAGGCCAGCCTCAGGGCCTCTGCCTCATTCCTGGCTCCATTTCCTCATCAGAGGACACTGGGCTCAAGCCCCTGAAAAGTCATCCGGCATTACAAATGCAGCTTTATGGTCTTGGGAGTCAGCAGGGGTTTCTACCATTAGGATCACCTTGAACTTGGGACAGGTGCTAGAACAATGTCATTTCACCTGGAGAAGCTAGGGTCTGCAGTCTGGAGTTAGTTGGTGAGCTTTAAAAAAATCTTGTTGGGCTGGAGCTGTAGCTCAGTGGTAGAGCGCTTGCCTCGCAAGTGTGAGGCACTGGGTTCAATCCTCAGCACCACATAGAAATAGAGATATTAAAAATAATCTTGATGTCCCAGACTGATAAAATCAAACTGTTTAGGGGTATCATTGTTTTTGACAGTTCTCCAGGTGGTTGCAATGAGCAGCTGGAACTGTGAGGCCCTGATTTAACCTGAGCTTCTGCCCCATGAAGAATGCAAAGAGCTCTGTCATCCTGTGTGAAGTAGTTGTATATTTATATACAGATACGTATAATTAAGCCAGAATGACATCCAGCTGCAGCTTGATTGCTGAGTTTATATGTAGGTGACAGCTGTGCTTGGATATAAGGGGTGAAGGCTTTCAGTCAAAATTATTCTTAGAAGAGTAAGTTGCTTACTGTTAGAACAAAATCTCTTACAGTTCAGAGGCAGGGGTGAGGAGTGCTTTCAATGATTTTGTAGTCAAGGTACTGTTTGGGAAAATGCCACTCACCTGAATGACCTCAGTCAGGGCTCATTATGGATCTAATGGAGATAACACAGGAGTTAAAAAATAAAGAGGAGGCAAAAAATTATTCTTGAAGACAGGACTTCATGATCACAAATGAGGATGGTGTAAAAATGTTTACAGATCACTTATAAAAATAAGTGGTTATGTCTAGGGTCTGAGTTCTCTCAGTGAGTGACGGAAAAGTGCAAAGGTTCTAATGCACAGCAGAGTCACACCAAAACCGAGCAAAGTCACACAATGAAGCATAAACTAATGCCACAACCGGTGCAGGAATGTCCAGTGATAGCAGGACATACAGATTCAAAAGGGCGGCATCTCTAACTGAAATCAGGCAGCGATGACTCTCTGCTCTAGCCAAACGCACAGATGATTCAGAAAAGGGAGCTACATGATGACACACTGCAAATACTAGGCTGGCACCGCATACAACTGCTCATTCAACTGATCCACCCAAAGCAGCAATTTTATAAGGTTCAGTTTCATAATGTGCAAAAAAAAAAATATAGTATTTTTAAATGCAAATGTCATAGATTCCAATACAGAGTAAATCTAAAGTTTCTAATATAACTTTAATTATGAATGTATAACCAGATTAATAGTTTACATATTTGAGGTAGGCATTTGACTAGTCCACCTACACCATGAAAGACGTTGACATCTAAATTGGTCATACAATTATGAAAAAACTCTGCTTTCTGGGAAAACAGGATGATCATATAACTATGATTTTTTTTTTTCCAAAAACATGGACCAAGCCTGTTTTTGGGGGAAAAAAAAAGGCTATGTGTACTGATCCACAGGTGACATGTTCTTTTTCAGATCTTGGACTACTGGTCATAGCACCACCTTCTGCAAGATACACACCAGGAGGAAAAACTAGGTATTCTTCCCATTACTTTTTGGAGAGGGGAGCACTGAGGCAGGACAAGTAGCTATTGGGTTCCTGGGGAGGAAATTCTGCACAGACTGAGTTGTCCCCCGACCTCGTTATATCCATCTTGCTCCCTTGTATCTCCCTATCAGGAGGGGCCCAGGCCCTTCTGGCTGGGGATCAGCATGCCTGAGCCACTTGTGTTGCAGGACTCGGCACTGCATGAGTTCCCGAAAGAAGTTCCTTTTCTTCTGCAGGTGTTATTAATATGCATGTGAAAATGAGGGCAAGGGCTCCACCCTGTGGGCCTATTAAAACCAAGTGCAAAATTAACAAGGTCTCTGTCTGGAAGTGATCAATAACCATGGTAAAACTCAGGTGTCTGGGGTGACCTTGAAGAAAAATATTCCCTCTGAGTTAGTTTTGTTCACCTGCTCTGGGGCCAAGAGAAAGGGCTAGCACTCATGATATCCCAGCATGTATGGGCCTGTGTTCTGGCTTCCTACAGCCTCCCATGTGAGACCTGGATCAGTATAGAACATTCCACAACAACTCTCAGAGGCTGACTGGCCACTGAGCATGGTAGGGGCCAGTGTTGTACCCAAGTCAGAGTTAGTGGCTAGAGAAGAATAGGACCCAGCTGCCTCATTCACAGGACTTCCATCTTCCTGCATGAATTGTGAGCTGGATGGGGCTTCAGTGAGAGGCCAAGAATCAAAACACGGGGTCATTGACTGCCCAGCTCCTTATTCATTATCTGTCCTTGCATGGGTCACTAGCATTCAATTTTCTAGTCTATAGAAAGAACCTCCATGAGCTCATAGAAGGTTGTCTCCAACATCCTTCAACCTGGAGGAGTGTTTTTTCCTCACTACTCTCTAGCGCCCCCATGAGGCAAGACTAGGCCAGGGTGTGAAGGCAGTGTCCCTGCTGTTGTTGGTCCTGCAGACCCTGCCCCTGGTAAGGATTTTACTTATCTGGATTAGCTTTTGCCGAATTCTAGCTGGAGTCCTAGGGGGTGCTGTTCCCACAGCTTTGTTTTCCACGGCTTTGGTTCATATGGAAAAACTTAGAACATAGGGGAATTTATCTACCTGAGAGCTGCACCTGAGCCAGCCTCAAAAAGGATACTCCATGTTTTAGGTGAGAAGACAGATTACAAAGTGCCACATACAGAAACCATTCCATTGTTGTTCAATATAGATGT